TGCCCAGGCTGGTCTCGAACCTGTGGGCTCAGGCAATCCTCTCACCTCAGCCTCCCAAAGTGCTGGGATTATAGGTGTGAGCCACTGCGCCTGGCTGAGAGCCTTTTAAGACAGAACGAGAGAGACCAGGTCTCCCCGTCTGTCCTCTGCAGTGCTCCATTTGCTGCATATCTCACCTTCTCTTCCCATCTTTGTGGTTCAGATGCCAGCACTCTGGGAAGGCCCCCTTCCCTGTGGTTGGTGCTCGGCCACTCCCCCCTGGGCACTCAGGCGCCGGGTCACCCGTTTAGGATCAGGGGCAGATTGAGGCTTTGGTAGGGAGGGATCATTTGACCCCATGCACCCGCCCAACGCTGCCTGCCCAGGCCGGGCATCTACTTACTGGCTCAACTAGGGAAGAAAAGGTGGCTCTAGAGCCAGCATTGGGTGGCTCCTCTGTCCTACTGCCCAGAGCAGCTCGGCCCTGCAGATGTTCCCAAGCACAGGGTCCAGGAGGGCATGTCTCTCAAGCAGGTGAAGGCTCTGAAGGCCACGCGTAGCAGGCAATGCATGGAGCTGGATCGGGTCTCACCCAGCTCCCTCAGGCTGCAGCCCTGCTCAGAACCATTACCGCAACCATTACCGCAAGGCTTCAGAAAAGAGGTGAGAAACTTAGCCCCAGGCCCGACACAGCAGCTGTGTTAATGTGGGGCAAGTAACTGAACCTTGTGGGTCTCAATCCCCTCTACTGCAAATGGGGGGTAATAGGCTGGGGCATGCGCCGGGGCCCAGCGCTGCCTTGCTAAGTGTCCCTTGACACACCCACATCTGTGCTGAGTTTGCCGCCTCGATCTCAGCTGCAACTCTTCACCCACCAAAGGTTTGTCCTGGAACAGCACTTGCTGCTCCCAGTAGAACACATTTTCCCCTAGTCCTGAGCCTAGCACACCATTAACCACTGCTTAAGGACATGTTCTGGTGGTCCAGGGTCACCTTGACCCCACTCCCAAAGTCCCCTCCAAAGGCAAGGACAGGGCCTCCCAGAGAGCCCAGGTTGCAAGATTTGTGAGGGACGGGCGCCATCTGGTGGACACAGGGGAACTGCAAGGGCTCCCCGGGATTCTGTGCAGTCCAGGAATGTTCTTTCAGTGGGCCCTGGTCCCAGGAGAGGCGGTCCCAGCCACACTTTACCACCCTGCCCTCCCAGGAAGACCTTTTTCTCTCTTTTGCGGGAACTCCGGTCAGATGTAAGAGTCAATGGTCCCTTCCCAGGCCTTCCCTCTGGACAGCTTTTACCTCATCTCAAGGACCTGGTCCTTCTTTTCCTGGAGAGGAGAGTCCAGGCCTCCCCAAAGCCAGAGCTGGGCCCCGGACTCCACTTCTCCAGGGTTGTGGCCTTTCTTGTGGCCACACACCCACTTGCCCAGCTCTGTTCAAATGCTTGGTGTGCACAGCGCCCTCCCAGGACAGGCCCAACCCTGAGTGGGGGGTGAATGTGAGGTAGCTCGTGAGGCCCTGTTGTGGGACTCCACACATCCTCACTGTGACTGCTGCTCTGAGTGCAGCCCCGGTCCCTCAGGCAAATAGAATGGGGGGCTGGCAGTTGGGGTCTCCCCGCTGTACTCCCTGGCTCTCTCTGGGCCGCCAGTCTCACTGCCCAGGCCTGGATGCCCGCATCCAGCACTGCTGCTCCACCACTATCATCACTGGCCCAGGGGTCAGGATCCTCAGCCTCTGGCCTTTCCTAAGTCCTTCCAGGGCCACTGCCCAGCTTGCCTGTGCCAAGCCTCCTCTGTGGGCCAGATGCCCGTGCCCTAGATGCCAGCTAACCCTGCCTGCCTCATGAGGACAGAATCCCTGGGCTCAGCTTTATTTGGGGCCCACCTCATACTGGCTGGGCGGGCCTTACAGGCCCCATCCACCCCACATCTGCCTGTCCAGTAGCCCAGCTCCCTGATTCAAGAGTGGTCTAGTCTTGCAGAGTGGCTGCTAGTCCTCCCAACGTCCCAAGCCCTGTAGGCAAGAGCAGGGCCAGCCAAGAAAGGGGAGAGAGCTGTGCCCTGAGGCCCTCACCCCTCTGGAGACCTTGACCTATGCTCACAGGTCTGGCCTGAGCTCAGAGAGGTGATGCAAGCTACCTTAGGAAACATGGCTGAAACATTTTTTTTTTCTTTTTTTTGAGTCTGAGTCTCACTCTGTTACCCAGACTGGAGTGCAGTGGCCGCTCCCGGCC